AACTGTAGAGTGCCTAATATACTTCTGGGCATTGTATAAATAATAAATGTAGCTGGTCAAAAAGTGATTTTAAAAGTCAAGAACATTTTAAAAAAAATCCCAAAATGTTTTTGTTTAGAAGTTTTCAGGCAGACCAGAGCTAAAAATGTTCACAATTATTTTTTAGTTTTTAACTCCCTTTTTCCCTCCCTTTTCTCCTTTTTCTATTCTGCCATGGAAAAGGTTTTGGAGGGTGGGGGACAAGAAAAAAAGGAGTAGGAAAAAAACAATAAATAAGTTTAGGTTTTGTGTAAGAAAGGGATATTGTTAAAAAATGAACATTTTTGTTAAACTTTGTTTTTTGTAAAAAGACCAGTTTTTGATGGAAACATTTCTTATTTGAAAGTTTCTTATAACCTGCTGTCAGAAAAGCTAACTAAATACTCTAATACAAAAAGATGCATCTTTGGGATGCTATAAACATTTCTTTGTGTTTAATGAACAAGTTGACCGTCCCAAAAAATGTTGAGATGAAAATTATTCTGTGAATATACACAAAAGGTTTTAAAAATTAACACCTAAAAAAACCTAGATTAATTGGATTTTAAGGTAGTTTAATTGCATTTTATGTATAGTCTGCCATTCATACATGGAACTAATCTAATATGAAATGCAGCGTCAAGCAGAAAGTTATTTAAGTTTGTCAAATTGATTATATAATTATATAATTGATTATAGTAAATAATTAACACATTCACATTGTTTTCTTCGTTTATTTATACCTTGTGATTAGTTGTTATAAGGATATCTGGTCTGCAATCCTTTAAAGTCTTTCTCCCATGCTGAACTTTAAGCATGTGAGTAAATCCCATTGAGTTAATTGGAACTATTTACATACTCATGTATGTTAAGCATGTGTGTAAGTATAAGTTAAGCATGTGTATAAGTCATCACAGGACTAGAGCCTTAATTTTGTGTATTTTAAATATTTGTACAGTTCTTATAATCAGCATTTTAAAAAAAGTTAATAAATTCATCCATTAATTATATATAAATGTATTGTGTGAAGTTGGTTGAAATGCATAATGCTTTAATGCAATAATAATCCTAAATTTTAAAAGAAAGTATGCTAAAGAAATATTCTTAGTTGCAGGGGCGGCTCTAGTTTTTTTGCCGCCCCAAGCATGGCAGGCAGGCTGCCTTCAGCAGCATGCCTGCGGGAAGTCCCCGGTCCCGCGACTTCAGCGTACTTGCCGCTGAATTACCGCCGAATCCGCGGGATCGGCGGACCTCCTGCAGGCATGCCGCCAAAGGCTGCCTGACTGCTGCCCTTGCAGGGACCGGCAGGGCGCCCCCCGCGGCTTGCTGCCCCAGGCACACGCTTGGTGCGCTGGTGCCTGGAGCCGCTGCTGCTTAGTTGTATAGAACTGTAGGATGTAGGATGTTAACTTGAAGTTAACTGAACAAAAAAAAAAAAAAATGTATAGTCTTGTATGAACACAAGTCATTTGCAAATTTGACACCATCAGCTCAGGATTAAACAAAGACTGTGAATGGCTATCCAACTACAAAAGCAGTTTCTCTTCCCTTGGTGTTCACACCTCAACTGCTAGAAGAGGGCCTCATCCTCCCTGATTGAACTAACCTCGTTATCTCTAGACTGATTCTTGCCTGCATATTTATATCTGCCTCTAGAAATTTCCATTGCATGTGTCTGATGAAGTGGGTATTCATCCACAAAAGCTTATGCTCCAATACATCTGTTAGTCTATAAGGTGCCACAGGACTCTTTGTTGCTTTTTACAAGTCAGATAATAGATCAGCAAAGTTTCCTGCATGAATATAGGCCAGAGGTTCTCAAACTATGATCCGTGGACCACGAGTGGTCCGCAAGCTCCATTCAGGTGGTCTGTGGATAGTTCCCTTTAAGGTGCACGCCTGGGCGATTGCACACGAGAGAATGAGAGGTCACCCACCTAATTAGTGGAGCCGCGCAGGCGAAGATGCTGGACGCTGGAGAAGATGCACATATAAGGTGAAGTAGTGACCTTGGAGGGAATATGGGGTGGGTGGGAGGGGGAAGTGGGGTGAGAAGAGGAGGTGGGAGAATTTGGGATGTGTGGGGCAGCAGTGGCCAGAGAAAGAGGTGACTTTCCCCAGCTCCAGGGCTGTGGCTGCCAGAGGGAGACATCCCTCCTTCCCAGCCTCAACTCTGTGGCTGCTGTGGCGGGAAAGAGAGCCCCCTCCTTCCCAGCCTCAGCTTGGGGACTGCCGCAGTGGGGAGAGATGTCACTATGACTAGTGATATTAAAATATGAGTTGTGTGTTTTTATTTGTAGAACCAAAAAAAGTTAATTAAGGTTTTTTTTTAATATAGTGCTTTTATCCAAAGCACTTTACAATAGTTAGCTAACAGTACAAACAACATTTGGAAAGATCATTAAGTGGTCCACCGAGACCCTCAGCAATTTTCAAGGGGTCGGTGAAAAAAAAGTTTGAGAACCACTGATATAGGCAATTTTTCCTTCACTCTCTAAAGGACTGCTCCAACTTCCATTAAAATGAATAGAAAGACCTTATTGACTTCAATGGGAATTGGATTGACCCTAAAAGATTTGTTGTGTTTCAGTTATATTTATAGATCTTTTAGTTGTCTGTGCATTATAGCAACAGTTTATGACAGAGGCGGGCAAACTTTTTGGCCTGAGGGCCGCATCTGGTTTCCAAAATTGTATGGAAGGCTGGTTAGGGGAGGCTGTGCCTCCCAAAACAGCCAGGCGTGGCCCATCCCTCGCCCCCTATCAGCCCCCACTCCCAATTCTTGCCCTCTGACGGCCCCCCCGGGACTCCTGCCCCATCCACCCCCCCCCCACTCCCTGTCCCCTGATGCCCCCCCTGGGACTCCTGCCCCATCCAACCCCCCTGTTCCCTGTCCCCTGACAGCCCCCGGAATACCTGCCCCTGACTGTCCCCCGCCACCCCATCCAACCCCCTCTGTCCTTCCTGACTGCCCCACCTGGGACCTCTGCCCCCATTCAACCCTTGTTCCCCGCCCTCTAACTGCCCCGACTCCTATCCACACCCCCACCCTCTGACCACCCCCCTGAACTCCCCTGCCCTCTATCCAAGCCTCCCCCGTGTTCCCTGCTCCCTTACCTCACTGCCTGGAGTACCGGTGGCTGACGGCGCTACAGCTGCGCCGCCCAGAGCACCAGGACAGGCAGCCATTCCGCCTGGCTGGAGCCAGCCATGCCACTGCGCAGCACAGAGCACTGGGTCAGACCGTGGCTCTGCAACTGTGCTGCCCCAGGAGCTCGCAGCCCCACTGCCCAGAGCATTGCACTGGCGGCGGGGTGAGCTGAGGCTGCGTGGGAGGGGGAACAGCAGGGGAGCGGCTAGGGGCTAGCCTCCTGGGGCAGAGGCTCAGGGGCCGGGCAGGAGGGTCCCACTAGGGTGACCAGACAGCAAGTGTGAAAAATCGGGATGGGGGTGAGGGGTAATAGGAGCCTATATAAGAAAAAGACCCCAAAATCAGGACTGTTCCAATAAAATTGGGGCATCTGTTCACCCTAGGTCCCGTGGGCCGGATGTGGCCTGCAGGCCATAGTTTGCCCACCTCTGGTTTATGAGCTATTAAAAAAAAAAAACCCACAGTGTAACTGGGTTCCAAAAGTGAGGGTCCTAAATCCATACTGAGGCTCCTAAATATAAGTAGCCTGATATTCAGAAGTGTTGAACACCCGCCAGTCCCACCAAAGCCTATGGGAGTTGCAGGTGCTCATCATCTTTGAAAAACAGGCCACTTTTATTTAGGTGCCTCAGTATGGATTTAGGAGAACCCAGATTTGAAACATCTCGTTTCTGTATTTTTAGGCTTTGCTGATGCCACTCCTTTTTGATAGACTGTATGGACATAATGATTCTTTGCGTATGTCTACACTTACTGGAGGGTCCGGCGGCAGGCAATCGATGTTCTGGGATCGATCCCGGAAGTGCTTGCCGTCGACGCCGGTAGTCCAGCTCGGCAAGAGGAGTACGTGGCATCGACGGGGGAGCCTCCCTGCCGCGTCTGGACCCGCGGTAAGTTTGGACTAAGGTACTTCGAATTCAGCTACGTTATTAACGTAGCTGAATTTGCGTACCTTAGTCCGAAGTGGGGGGTTAGTGGGGACCAGACCTTTGCTTTCTGAGTCTCTAGGGATGCACTTGGGTCACATTTTCAAGCTTTTGTCATCAACCAAAAATTCAGCGTTGCTAACTCCTGCGATTTTATCATGAGTCACACAGTATTTGAGGACTTGCTTAAAGCCCCAGCTCCTGGAGACACATGAGCTTTCATTTGAATAAATGAAGTTTCTAGCCCTGTGGTTACAGAGAAAAGGTTGAAAAGCTCCCCCTCGCGCACCTCAAAAGTCCAGTAACCAGAGGGCCAATAAGAACCCAGAATGTATTAAAAGCCAAGCAAATCCTTGTGACCTTGACGCTAGGGTTGCCAACATTGTATTTCAGAAATAAGGGACTGTTTTCTTAGCACCCGCCTCCTGATATGAGTATCATCGTTATCATCATCAGTAATAATAATAAGCAGTAGCTACCCATCTACACTGGCCAGGGCTATTTCTTGCTGCCTTTTGCAACACTCAGCAACTCCCGATCTTGTTGTACAGAGAAGAAAAAATAAGGGCCGTTCCTTGTAATAAGGGACTGTTGGAGATGCCCCTCTCATGATTTTTAGGGGCTGTCTCCTGGTTTATGAAGGTTTGGGGCTGGCCAGGCCGAATCCTTTTATTTCCATGGCTCCAGGACCTGGGGTTTTAGGGGTGAGCGCAAGGAAACTGGCAGTAGCATTGTGAGAGGGCTGGGGGGGTAACGGGGGGGCGACATATGAGATGGGGCCTGGTCGGTCCGGCAGGCTGCCCGCCCCACCCCGCTGCAGGGGCGGCCCCGCATCAGGAGGGCGCTGGCTGCTCGTGGCAGCAGCTTAGCTTAGCAGCGCGCTGGCCCTTTAAATCGACAGCGGCGCAGAGAGACGCCGCCGCGGCGCCCGTGCGACAGGAGAAACCCAGTGCGGCTCGCTGGTTGGCCACCCCGCCGGAGCGCGGCGCCGCGCGGCCGCCAACAACCTCCCCGAAGGCCGGACAGAGCGCGAGGCGTCTCCTGAGCGATCTCCTGTCCCCCGAGACCGGCGGCTCCACTGCCCCCTCCTGTGGTGAGGGGAGGGGTAGCTGGAGGATGAGCTGTTGGAGGGGGCTTGTAGTAGGCTGGGTAATGGTGGGGGGGATTGGAGGCAGTAGGGATGGGGTTTGGTGGGGGGCTGGGTAATGGTGGGGGGATTGGAGGAAGTAGGGGGTGAGGGTTGGTGGGGGGCTGTGTAGTGGTGAGGAGAGCTGGGGACCAGGCTGTGCACTGGGATGAGGAGTAGCAATTGCAGGGAGATGGTGTGTAAGTGGAGGGCAGGGATTAGGATGTGCTGCAGCAGGAAACTATGTCAACCAGCCCACACCCCTAGTTTGGTGCTAAGGAGAGCAATCTCAAGTTAAAAACAGAATAAAACCTTTTCCAAGGAACATCAGTGAACATGTGATTTAAGCAGGCAGGCTGGTATAGGCAGGCTTTTCTAGGGGTTGCGGGGAGCCCTTAGTCTCTCACATACTGTGTGTCGCCTGTTTTGTTCAAAACTTTGTTTTTCTGTTGGAACAAGTTTCAGGCAACGAATGTCGTGGGAACAAGAGCAACCAGAGAAAGCTTAGAGGAGCTATTACAGTATTATTGTGTGAAGCAGCTTTCCACATTTGTGCGTGGAGGGGATTATTCAAGCAGAAATCACTAGCTGTCTTGAAATAATAAGATTCCTTTTTTCAACATTTCTTTCCCTGGTTGTTGTGGGCAGGAACCTTGGTGGTGGTGTTTTGAAAAATATTGTTACAAAACAGCTATTCCGTAATTGATGGAAGGTAAAGGGAAACAAGATGTCATCCCTATCCCTTTCCTTCAAACTGCTACATCTCCTTCATTCAAATCCCTTCTAAAAACCCACTTCTTCCACGTTACTCACATGAATTGAGTTCTCTTTTTATGATTTTAATGAATCCATCAATCTGGCATCTGATTACTGCAATCTCTGATTTTCCTTAAAATACATCCCACACTCTGTCAGTGTTTACCACTCTTGTCTAACTATAGATGTGATACAGTAAGCTATAAAAACTTTTGGGTCAGGAGGCCAGCAGCAGAGCCCTTATTAACCAAGTCTGAGCTATAAAGTTTTTTATTGATACTATTGTGAGAGAGACATTCAAAATAAACTTCAGTTGTTGTGGTCAGTGTTTAACACCTTTTAAAATCTACCTTTTTATAACTTATTCGACAGTTTAGATCAAAATGGGATTCATCTTTTCAAAATCTGTGAATGAAAACCTGAAGAGTCAACAGGAGTTCATGCTCATGAACTCTCGACTTCAGGTAAGCATTTGTTGTACAGAATCAAGAAAAGCTATTGATTTATATCCTGTTTGGAAACGCTTACTCTTACGTGGAGGTGTATGAGGGATAGGGTAGTGCTATGTGATTTTGTTGGTTTAACATGTTTATAAATAGGGAAAGTTTATAGCAAAAGTCCTTATAGCATCTTACAGGAGATAAATCCCATAATACCGCTGTGATATAGGTATTATCCACATTTTACAGATGGAAACTGAGGTACAGAGATTAAATGACTTATTCTAAAATAAGTCATAAATAAGGAATAAATGGTTCCTAAAAATCCAGCCCTGCAAGCATGCCTTTGAGTAGTCCCACTGAGCTCAATGAGGCTACTCTTGGGTAAAATTAGTCATATATTTAAGTGAGTCAGTGGCAGAGATAGTAATAGAATCCAATGCTCTGTTCTAGCTACTAGATTCCAAAAGTTAAAACTAAAATATGTATTCAAATTTTCCGGCCCCATATGTTGTCTCATGTTTGTCAGTTGCAGTAATTCCAAGGTAATAGCAAGGCTGTAACTTGTCTGTCTTTTCCCTAGCCATGGAGCCAGACTGATAAAGACCAAAGGTTAGGTAGGCTATGCTGGATCACTTACTCTCCAGTTTGTTATTATTTTATTAGAGTGTTGCATAATGGAGATAGGGAAGAAAGCTTTTGACACTGAAAACCAGAAGTAAGCAATAGAATTACTCTTTCTTATCCAGGCAGTAGTGCAGTTGTCTGCTGTGCTGTCAAGTATTTTAATAACTTCTGATGGCACGTCTACATTGCCCAGCATTTTGGGCTAGTGAGTGTGAATTGCAGCATGCACCAAAGTACTGTGCTGTAACTTCCCCGTGCGGACACTACAGGTGCTGCAGTTCACAACCCCGTAGTCCGAAATGCAGGGCAGTGTAGATATGCCTCTGACTTTTCAGTTTACTGTAAGTCAGTGGGGAGTATGTGGTTTAATCTAAAGTTTTCTGTACACTTCTGAAGTTGAAATGAAATACAGTGAAACTTAAAAATACATCTTTCATTACAAATTATTGATGGATTAACTTTGCACTTAAATTGCCAGTAGGTGGCATATTTTAGCTTTTGGAAGCATTGAAGACAAGTAGATTTTTAATATTGATATTTAAACTAAATAAATATTTGATATTTAAACTGAACTGAATATTTGGAGAAGATGTTTGTATAATTGGAAGTTGGGGGAAAAAAACCAGGAGCATGAGAAAAACATCTAGCTTAGTAAGCCGCAGTTGGAAGACCAAGCAGAAAAGCAACACAATGGCTATATATAAGCAACCTCACAACAGACCCTTGGGGATGGGGTTTGGGGGGTAATTCCAAGCATGTTCTAGTTCCAGGCTGCAGCCTGAAGTTACACAGCTTTTTGCTAAGGCTGGGTGCCTAGGGATCAAAGAAACACTAAAGTAGCTTTGTGGGCCTAGGTGCCCAAGTCTTAATTTTAGGAACCATGTAATCCACAAAACTCTTGCTCAGCTGCCACCTAACTCTGTAGGCACCTAAACTTACTTGGTGCCTACATTTTCAGGGTAAACATTCCCAAGGCACCTATATTTCAGCCTGTGAGCATGCACACTTCTGTCACAAACTAGGCGTCTGAACACCTGTCTCCGACCTAAGGCCCAGAGTGCCCCACAAACTGGGGGGAAATTGATGGAGGAGCACCTATATTGCATTTTGGGCCTGATCCAATAGGTGTACTCCGAGACCAGTAGCTCATAGAAGTCCCTTTGTAGATCTGGGCCTGAGTGGCTAAAAGGCAAGAATGGCAGGTGGGAGTTGAGTGCTGTTCCTGATGAGAGCAGACTGATGAAATAGACACAGGTCCTGCAAGGATGCCTGAAAGCAATTTGCCCTTCCTTGGCTCACTGGAAATTGTAAGCCTTAGGGAAGAACAATGATGCTTGGGTTAAGATTTATTTTCTCTGAAATGCTTTTGATCTAAATAAATGATACTTTGTTGTAAGAAGGCTGCCTGGTTACTGGAAATTGTCATAGCTCCTGGTAGGAGCAGAACTATAGTTACTGAACCTAAGCTGACCCGCGGAGGTAATCATGGTTGATATACAGGGGATTGCAGCCTAGGCCCTGGCCTGAGAGTAAGAAAGTTGCCTGATTCCACTTAGAGAGGTGACTGCACAAGGCATGAAACCAGTTCATAGAGACTGGGGTGTATGTCAGAGGTGCAGTTAGCCTAGTAACTGACAGCCAACGTGTTTCTATAAAGGCACATCTGAACAGGGGTAGCCACCTCCTGAGCATCCTCTTGTGGCTAGAAGTGGCTGTGCAGCACTCTGCCTCAGTTTCCTCTTCATTCAGGCACCTCAATAACGCTATAGAAGGGTTTGTCCAATAACATTTCTTCTTGTGGTCTGGTTTATTAACATAAACTGAACTAAAAAAATTAAGGTTCTTCTGCCCCAATCTCTTAGTGTGCACAGTCTCCACTCCACCACCCAGGTCTGACCACCTTCAAATTTCCAAGCTGGTCACAACTTTTAGGCCCTTCCCAGGCTCTGCTTTGTCACTTCCCTTAATCCACTCTAGACTACTTTAAACATTGCCTGTGCTCTTCTGAGCATTCACTCTCAGGCATGGGCGGCGGGTATAAGAGGTCAGGGGAGGCTAAGCCTCCCGAAACAGCTGGCCCACCGCCTCTGGAGTCCGCCACCATTGAAAGGATGCCCAGGCTGTGGCCCCGCCTGCGTTTCGTGCCGAGGCTCCACTCCCACTTGTCCTCTTCCCCCTGAGGCCCCGCCCTTGCTTCGCTTCTTCCCATCCCTGTTCCATCTGCATAGGGGCCTCAGGGGAGGAGGGGAAGAGGCACATGCAAGTGGTGAGTGGTTTGGCAGGAGTGCGGGAAGGCCATGGGGAAGGGGGGGCAAAGAGTTGCAAGCAGTGGGTGGGCAGTGGGCTCAGGGGAAGAGGCACAAGAGGCAGGCAAGAGGGGTCTCGGGGGAAGGGGCAGGCAGGGGGCTCAGGTGGAGCATGGGCAGAGCTTCAGGGGGAGGAAGTCGAGTGGGGGTGGCCTCAGGACAGGGCCACAGTCTAGGCGTACCCAGCCTCCCCAAATGGAGGAGTCACGCACCATCCATGCTCTAAGGCCTTCCTACCTGGAATCTTTTCTTTCCCAGGGGAGATCCATCACTCTCTCAGTGCTGTCTGTTTGTCAGCTTTTAAAGGTCAGCAGGCAAGCATCTCTACTGCTCCCCTGGCCCTGGCCCTTCTTCAGCCCTCTGGCCCAAACCCTTGCCTCCAGGCAAAGTTCTCCTACAGGAGCCTTCTGTTCTCTATAGCCTCTGTCATAACTTCCTCTTCCCCACCAGTGCTTTATAGAGACTATCTGCCATCTGTCAGGCACCATCAGAAAGTTGTTAACGAGACACAGATTGGCTAAACCAGTTCCACCTTAAAGGGCCCAGTGCACCCTGTGATATATATTCACCTTCTTCACAGCTTCCTTCATTATCAAGTTTGATGATAAATCTATTGATATTAATATACTATACCACAGACTATTCTCTCAAGCTCACAAAAATAAAAAAAGTTAGTAATTCAGCCTCTGTATTTGTTAATAAATAGCTTGGATTAGGGTTGCTTTAGTTTGCACAGGTGACTCACCAGCCCCTGGCTGGCCCCGGAATAGAGGAGCGCAAGGGTAGCATGCCTCCACTTCTCCACTCTATTTTTGAGCCAAGTGGAACTCAGCCAGAAGAAAGAATTGAGGCCTGTAAGTTTTGTCTTGCTGCTGTTTTGTAAAATAACGAAGATTGGACTATCAGGCTGCTTTGTTCTGGAGGACTCGCTGTTTGTTTGTGTTATGCATTGATATGTGTCTCCAGAGTTAAATAATCCATCTCAAATCAAATCAAAAGGATTCCCAACAAAAAATATAATTGAGGCTTCACTTTATTATATCGCTGCTGCTTGAGGGATCACACATGAAGCTCTTCCTTAAAATTATCAGATTTACAACGAACATATATAATGTTTTTGCCTTACCTTAAAATTTGAATGTGTAGAAGAAAGAATCCAGGTCTTAGAGCATATATAAGACATTTTATAATGTTTATAAATAAGGAAAACAAAATGCTATATGAGCACCATTTGCATGACTATAATGAAGTACATTCCAAAGTTCCTATGTTTTCAGTGCCTTCTGTTTTATCTGCATTTTTGTATCACAACATTTTGTCTGAGCATCCAGGGTTTACTCCTCTTTAAAAAAGAAAACAAAAAAACCTTTCTTGTAGTTAACCATCCAAAAAATGCTATAAAATGCACAAAGTAAACACATGGAAAATAGAGTGAAATATTTTTGCTTTTATTTCTCTGTTTCAGAGTGTAAGTGGTTGGTTACTTGTAACGATAGTGGGTACAACATTTTCAAATGGAAAATATTTTTCTCTTAGTTGAGATCAGTTTTTAAAAGTGAAACATAAAGATGATATTTTTTAAGGTGTTTTACGTGTAAATTCTTAAAGGAGTCACTACTCATATGCATTGAAATTCTCTCTCTGTTCCCTCCATCAAATATGTCTTTAAAAAGTGAATTGTGTGTCTGTATATGTACTATGTGTAGTTTCTTGTGAATTCAGACTTCTGCTATGTAGACTTTGATGTCATGGAACAGGGTACCTAGGAAGCTCTTATTAAATAAGGTCATAAATGCATGGCCCTTTGCTGGTGTATTATAGCTATCTTTAAACAATAAAAGATCTTGTAAGTTCTAAATGTTGCAGTACAAAGACACAGCAAGAGAGGTTAAAGATGGAGTTTCAGGTTAGTGTTTGTGAATTCAATGCTTATCCATGTTGTCCAGAAGTTTTCTTCCACAGAGTCCTAAACGAATGATTTTTGCACTACAGAAAAGTGTTTTCTGGGCAGATTTGTAGAATACACTCTAAATATTTCAAGGCACTGTCACTTCAAAAGGTGTACCACTAGAAACTAAACTGTACATAGGG